AGCCCGAAAGCTAACAAGAAGACACCTACTCTCAGCAAGACAGTTCTCATAAAAAATTGATGAATATTATGAATGAAAAGGAATGAATATTTTTGTTCGTTGCAATACGATTTCGTATGCGTTTCGTCGGAATTGATTTTTGAAAAGTTTATATTATTTTGAAATTCTTATGGAAATATTAGTATAATTTATTAATAGATATCGATGAATATTGATTAGTAAATCTTAAAAACATAGATTGATAATTTAATTCGATAATTATTTGTTGAAGGAATATTCAATGAAATATCGGCGCGGTTGAAAAATGGATAAAGTTGCGAATGTTTTAATAAATTTCTAGAGGAGGACGGGCCGATTTTTGTAACATTATATTGTTGTATTTAATAGTCTTGGATGTCGTTTCGAAGTTCCTTGTAATATCTACTTTTTAGAGAAAATTAAAATATGGTAATAATATACGATAATTCGTCTTCGCAAATTTACACTTTGAAGGCGCAAGTCGTTGGAAGAAAATAGAAATTTTTTATTTAGATGATGATGTCGATTGGGCCGATACGAATAGGGATAATTTTATATGGTGATGATGAATATTTGATTAAATGAAAATTAATATGATTTTTTCATTTATTTTTGAAAAGAATTGATTTTAATATTAAAAAATACAATAAAATATATATGAATTATTGAAATTAAAGGTAAATAAAATATTATGTATTGTCGCCGGTATGGGTTTTATCGAAATTATTCGTCGTAGAATAAAATATAAAATTGAAAACGAGGTTGTATTGACGATATTATTTTAAAATTGATGATAATAATATCCCGACGTGTAGGATGGTGGTGTCGTATTTATGTTTGGTAGTATTCGATATGTCCGGAAATATGTTTTATATTTAATTGAGAAATTATTCGATTATACCAATAATTTTTTTTTTTATAATTTGATTTTGATAAAAAAATATATTGATATTCTTGAATTATACTATTAAATATACTTAATAAAAGGATAATATTAATTAATCGGGAATGGGAATTAATCGATATAAATGAATGTGATAAAATATTGTTATATTTTAATAAATATATTTGATATTTTAAAATATATATGTATATATTAAGATCAAATCGGTGATTTTTGTGTTGGAGGGATTTGAGGCGGAGGATAACGAACGATTGTCGGGTTGATTTATTTTATTATGAACCGATTTTGGAGGTAGATGATAATGGTATATATCTTAGAATGAAAATGCAATTACGAAGGAATTTAAATATAATTTAAATAATGTGGTCGACGGTTTAGGTTGAGTAACGACGATATAATCGAACGATAATGTTGGAATGTTTAAGAAATTATATTATATGGGTTATATGAATTCTGTATAAATTAGAATATAATAATTATAATTATGATGCGAATTAATGTATATATGAATTTTTATTTTTAGATAAATGTGGAACCAATAATTGCACGAAGAAATCGATATATTTTAAGTAATTAAATTATGAATTAAAATGCAAATATTATAACCAATAATAAATATATATATATTTGCATTGGAGATTATATTATTGGATATGTTTTTCGAAATATATATATTAAAAGTAATTTAACATTTTGATTGGAGGGACGAAATCGTATTTGCAGTCTTAGAGGATAAATATAATCTTTTTACCGACGAAATTGATGAGTTCGATGATATATTATTTATCTTTAGAAGTGTTGGTGCGAATATTACATGCAAATAAAATTATTGAAGATATCGTTAAATAATTTTGGTGACCATTTGGTCGCCGATATAATTTGGGGGGCAATCGATGAGGGAAGAATATATGCTTTGATTATGATGAATTAAAGATTATATTAGCAGAATATAATATATTGTCATACAAAAAATCCTTTGCAAAAATTCTAAATAAATAATAGGAAATAAGAAATCCGTCGTACCATTAAATGCAATAACCATTATGCAAGGCTATTCGTAAATTCGAATCCAAAAGTATACAAATCAAAGAATTAAATGAGGATATTAAAATAATTAATAGGAAATGATTCGCCCAACTCACCATTAATTTAATACAATTAAGAAATGCTACATCCAACAACGCTCGAAATCCTTCATTGAATCGATGGATAATTTGTCCATCCAAATGACCAGTGGCCGAATTCCCACTTGGTGCTTCCCTAGCTCAATTCGAGCAGGTGAGACATTGTTTATTCTGGCATCCCGTTTGAGGTCCTTTTATTATCTTTTTGCGAGAGCGCGGAATTCTTTGAAAGAGTGCGGAATTGTTTATTGTTCGGTTGTTACGAGGCCAGAGCGATATTTCTATAAACAATTTGAGGTCTTTAAATGTCCGTGGCCTATGGCCACGGCCACCCAAGTGGATTTGCGGCTCCTGCAGTTCACGACTCGCCATCCAATGTTCTTGTTCTTAAAGGATGATATATGCAATTTAGGCAGGGCAAATCTTCACAATTGATCTCCCGCAGCGAGACCTATTTCGTGAATGCACGATAATGTTGAAGATTAATTTTCCATACGAAAGAATTCAATATTACATCCAAAGAATTCAATTGCCGCCGCCTTGGTAGCGTCAGCAGCTATGATCGATGTTAAGGATCTGTATAATAGCTTGAAAAAGGAAGGAATTAGAAGCGCCCAAAAAAAAAACAGATATCGAGATCATGTGTTCTAAGGAAGAATTTGGACAACAAAATACAATGCGAAGACGAATGAATTCGAAACGAATATTTACCGACGGAATAACGAAGATATTATCAAGATAAAATTTAATTGACATGCCAAGGCATCGACGATTCTGCCTGATCGATGATATCAAATTCATTATATCAAAGAAGAAGGGCAAGAAATTCAGGGAATAAGTAAAAACGAGAATCTTCGGCTTCAATAATGGAATTCGCATTGTATTCAGATTTCCGTTGTAATAATATTAAAAATAATTGCCAATGTGCCGATAATTAAAAACCATGCATTTCAAAGATATTAAATTAAAATATAATTCGAATATGATGTAATCATCACCTTCATTCCCGGCATCGTGGTCTTTATATTAATTTGCAATGGTATACGATATATATGTTCCTATATTGCATTAAATCTATAGAAAAAATATATAAATTCCGAATCAAACAGAACCGAAGAAAATAAAAAATAACGAAATAAAAAATAAATTTAATTCATTAAAGAAGAAAAAAACAAATAATCCCTCGAATAGTGCAGAAATCATTTAATTAAATATAATATATTAAAAATATACCAACATTAAACATAAAAATAAAATATAATCTAATAAATTATGAAATAATTATATCAAAACAATCAATATTGCCTTAACGAAGAAAATATTAATTACTAAGACAAAAATATAATATTAAATATCAATATTATCTAAAAAAGAATTAAATTAATCAATTAAAAATCAAATCGATCATTAAATAAATATAAACAAATATAATCATTATTTATAAATATCTCAAATTAAATATTCATTATTATACATAAATTAACTAATCAATATTATATAATATATATTTTTTTTTCAATTTTAATATTTAAATATATATATATATATATTTAAAATAATTTCAATCGATAATAAAAAATAATTGTTATTAAATTTAATTAATTACAATCAAATATAATACGCATTTTAATTATATATATTTTTTCTTAATTAATATATAACTTAATTTATATATATTATATATATATATTATTAAATCAATTAATTTTTGTATTTTTTCATTTATTATATAAATCCATTAATATATTTATTATAAATGATTATATTATATATAATTATCAATTTAAATCAAATTATATATCAAATGGATTAATTAAGGAAGAATTCTTGAATCAATAATGAAATATCGAATATATTCATATAGATTAATATCTAATATATCGACATATTTGTATATATTTTCCGATTCATAATTGATGGCCATTGTATTATTTCAAGTTCCAATACAGGGCGTGAATTCATTGCAACGAAATCGATGGATATTCCATTTCGATAACAGGAACAATGAAAATTGAAAGTACGTGAAACCGAAGGCCCTCTTTGATACGTTGATCTCGAGAGCCACAAGTGCTCTGAGCGTCCGTTGGGGGTTCTGCACATTCTTCTTAGATATCAATTTGCAAGTGAACCATTCTTCTCAAAACATTACCCGCTTTGGCAGTTTGGTAATTACGCAGAAGAACAATTGTACTTATACATTCTCCTGCAATTTCCAGCAGAATGGTGGTGAAGCACCTGAAATTATGGAATTGGAAGTTCATCTTGCCAGTTGAATTGCCCTATGTTGGGCCAAACATGGCCGCAATCGCTCAACTTGGACGAATCCTACACATTTCAGTCTGGACTTCGAGTCTACCAGGTTTAAATCGTCCGACCCATGCAGTTTTACCGTGATCATGTCTTACCTGTTGTCTGACTCCATCACCCTCTCCAGATCACCTGTTGTATCAACAGAACCGAAAAAAGCACCTCCGGCCCTAAATGGCCATGCCTGGCACCGCCAGCGTTGGCCTCAGAAGTGCCTCAGATTGCCCCGCCGAAGCCACCGGACGATTCTTCGTTCGATCAAAGGAAGGATACCGAAGGTTTGGCGACACACCATGGACATCCATTCGAACAGAGGAGGTGACAGGGGGATGCATCTATATATTTGCAGGTTGAAGCTGTGGTTTGTTGTTGGGCGCGGCGTGGCGCGACCACTCTCAAAGGAGTTTCCAATCGAGGCTGCACTGGATGGTGTGGAAAGCCTGATAACGCGCAACTCAGGAGACACTCGCGGAGCTCAAAGCAAATGCTGATGAACCCTAAGGACCAAAAAAGAAGTTGAATCACCTTTGCCAGTTATATATAAGAATGAAATTAAGAATGTATAAGTTTCCAATAGCTTCCACAAATGGACTTGCAAGCTTGAACTTTTCCCCAAGCCAAAGACATATAACAGTCCATGTGAAATCCCCTACAACTTTCTACAACTCACTGCAATCTCCTTGGGGTTTCTGGACCAGGACCTTCAGCCGCCCAGGCATGTGGTTTGGAAGCCGTTGTGGACGAAAAATATGGCGATGGCCGAAGGCGAAGTTAACGGCACGTTTCGGGTGTTCCACTCTGAAAGTCGAGCACATGGTTGGTACTCTCCCTGGAAGTCGCATGGGAAATGGAGGAATTCCTGGATTTCATGGTCTTCCAACGGGCCATGCCATCCACATATAACCAGGTTGGTTCTCTATAAGTGTAGTGCAATCCCCTGAGACAAATGTGAGCAATGGTAAATATGGTAAATTGTTGATGAGTACTGAACCTGGAGTTGTGCAGTGGTTTTGTCGATCACTCAGTGTCCAAAGAACCCACGCATGATCGCCAGCACAAGGACAAGAGTGAACCGGACGGTGCTCGCGTCACTCGTGTCAGGACCCGATGGGGGTCGTGATTTCGTCCGACGCGCATCTCGCATGACAAAGGTAGAGGTCTCGCCACTGGCGCTTCAGTTCGCTGTAAAGGAGGTGAAACACGGTTCAAATAAACTCGAAAGCAAGGCTCTTTCTAGCGAACGTTTATCGGTCCCCAAACCCTGCAAGGGAACGTTTTGACTATTGGACTATTAGATTGAATCCCTATGTCACTAGGTCGCACGGATCTTTCCTATCGTTTCTGCTTCTCTGGCTCTCATTAACGCAACTTCTTCCCTATCATGCGCTGGTTTATGGAACATTATGGTTCGAAAATGGTTCGAATTTTATCGAATTACACAATTATAAGAGCGTTTTTGCTTGCAGCAACCCGTGTGACATAGGCATGACTGGGGAGCAGGGGTCTCAGCCGCTGCTTCGTTTGACGAAGCAGTGCCGGAGTAGTGACATCACTCATACATTGCGGTGCCACTGTCTGGTGCATCTGTTTGGTCTCAGAATAGATGAGCTCAAACTCCATGGAAGCTCAAGCAGGACACCTCCTGGTGTGGATGCTGCATCTTGAAGCACATCTGTGCTCACAGCCGCAAAACCACCTCCTCGGTGTTGGATTCGAGCGAGTGAAGGATTCGTTGTTCAAATAACCCACCACCACTCTGCGTACCTTAGAGTCTTGGATAGAAAACACAGAAGAAAAAAAAGAAGAAGAAAAAGAACAACAACAAACCGAAATTGCTTGTTTTAGAGACTCAATAGAGGGCAGCTAGCTGCCTCGAAAGACGCGTGGGGCATGGCATAATACGATCACACCGTGTGCGAGATGCGCAGCCCAGGCACATACGGATGCTGGCGGGCTTTTTCCTGTAGGGCTGCATGAAGATCCTCGGGACCTTTTGAAACCAGTAGCTTCAATACTTCATTCTTGATCCGTTGGCGCTTCGTCTTTTTGGGTCTCACACCGTCAGGGTCTTCTCCATGAGGCAAATGGCAAAAGCCGCATTGAGAACCTTTGGCACACCTACGGACCGAGAGGCTGAAGACCTAAGCCAACTACACCAAGCTCCTGGAAATTTGAAGAGGCGCAGGCGCTGGCCAAAAAACCAAAGGATGAAGAACTACACTCTGACTCTGACGAACACATCACATGAAAGTGGATAGCATGCCCCCCAGGAAGATCAGTTTCCTCGACGAACAGGGGGTTCTCCATGGTTCTCCACGGTTCTCCATGTTCGCGAGTCGGAGGGGTAAGTACTCACCAAGACACACAAGGGTCGCAGCAGCCCATGACATGAGCAAGGGGAAGCCGGACGTGTCCTTCAATGCTCATCGGATTCACTTCCGGCCCACTTCCGGCCCCCCACAAACTCGGCCTCTGGCTGCCCGCACTTTGGACGTGTCCGAGACTGCCCCTTTGAGCCAAAGCTGCGGCCAGGGTGGACAAGTGCAAGTGGCAATGGCTCAGACTATCCCCTATAGTGATCCAGAAGGGTGACGACACGGCCAGGGCAAGTGCTGGCAACGGCTCAGACTATCCCCCATAACGATCCAGAAGGGTGACGACAGTTCTGCATTCCTTCATATTCCTTCTACCAAGCTGTGCGGTGAACCGATTCGACGACTGGTGAAGGTTGGACCGGCATTGGGCCGATGGAGGGACACGAGAGCGCTTGGCCTAGGGCCTATGATTTTGCGTGATAACAAGGCAGGAGAAGGGACAAAAGGAACGAAAAGCACCTTCCTCCATACATCTTCCTTGAGCTACTGAGAAAAAAAGCTGATGCATCCTCTTGGAACATGTCGGGCCCCAACTTTCCCCGCATCCTCGCGGTCGAGGGGCGACTGATGATGAGATTGTTTGTCACCTTGTTTGTCCGCGTGTGGCGGCACGCGCTGCTCGAGATCTTGGTCGGAGTGCTCCTCGGTGCGCCACATGCAGCCGACGGGTGGATAAATGCCGAGCAAGAACTATGTTGGGCGATTTGAGAGCAAGAGCTACAGTATGTGTGTCATATGAAAAAAGGGCCAAAGAAAGTAAGTAAAGGTATATTATACCAAAACGTTTCCATGTGTGGAAAAATGTTCTTCCTGTGACTGTGAGTGCAGAGCTCTGGGGAGAGTCTCTGAGAATTGCTCGCTGACCTGAAAAAGGACCGAACTGCTTTGTGGAAAATCCTTCACACTGTGAGGATGCTGTGAGGATGCGCCCATCCCGCTTTGCAGCCCAGCGTCTGACAGGGCCCTTCAGTGGGGCAAGGGCTGATCTGAGGACATACGCCACCTTGGAGGATCGTCGGGCAGGGACTTAGAATGATCACCGGACATCTTTTGATGCTCAACAACAACATACAGTGTGTGATACATGGTGATATATGGCATGTTGCTTTCACGTGGACATGTTAGAAGAAACGCTAACAAGTTGAGACCAAAGCAGTTCCGTATATTCTGAAGTGAGAGCAGATTCACCCGCTTTCCCACACACATCGTGGCATTGTCACCATTGCGAACTGACTGTTGCACTGCTCACTCAGAGCGTTGCCGAGTTCGGGTCTTCACCACAGCCCAACTGCCAAGCGGAGCTTGTTGTCATAACGGAACCCACCGTTAAAAGGATCGACTGCCGAGCCGCAAGAGCGTTTGCACTGCACCAAGATATCTTGCCTCGAAGGTGGACATCGCCACTGAACAGGTGGAGATCACTACGTGGGATAAGACTTATTTCATTTGCATTGACATGCATTGACCTATGTAGACCCGGTTCGTGTGCCACATGATGCTCTTCCACCCAACCACCCCTGCAGCATTCTTCCGTGTGAGGGGGAAAGTTATTTGTCCTTCTTGAACTCGATGATCACGACGCCTCGATCGTTGGACCTTCACGGCTGCCTGCGGAAGAGTTGCTGTCCGCCAGCTGTATAGCCCCAAGACTCCATTGCCCCAGAACAGTCATCCCCAACCTCAGGTCTCAAAACCGGCAGCTGGCAGCCGTTGGGATGTCTTCGGATGGCTTAAGGGGCCCGAGATGGTCCGAGATGGCTTAAAAAGTTGAGCGGCCGGGACCGGGGGGGTTCGGGGTTTTGGAGTTGACAGGTCTGTTTTGGTTGGTGGTTTCTTTGGGTCTTTTGATGGCGCAGGTTTTGTGTTTTTCAGTTTGAGCACCCTAAGGTTGGGCCGCAGCGCTGCTCACTGCGAGTTGGAGTGGATGGTCCCGACACGTGGAACCCATTGGACATCCATTGGACTATGCAGGAAGCCCACATGGAACTGATGAGGCCAACATGAGAGGAGAATACCCGACCCTTTGTTCAAACAAATATCCCGGATATCCCCCCAAAAAAGAGATGTTTTGAACGACACATCTTGAAGAGTTTGATTTGCAAGGACCTTTTCTTTCCATCAGGTGCCCAACAGGGTGCCGTTCAAGTGGGTGCCATTTCGTTTCAATTGGTTCCAACGAGCTCTTTGCCGCACCCAAGACATCGTGAGCAGTGTTGCCAAAAATACACTCTTAGCTGTCTTCGCTCCTGTGGTCCAGCTGTTGCCCTCTTGTCCCCTTTACTGATTTATGAGAAATCATGAAAAATCATCCAACTCGCACTTCTCACAAGACTTGACCAACTGCGACGGACGGGGGAGTAAGGCTGAGTAAGGAATGCTCCTGCTCCTTTCCAAGAGGATTTAGACAAATCCTGCCAAACCATCTCCAAACCAACAATTCATCAAGCGGCCCAAGTATCGCAGAAATAGCCTTTCTCATCCAACCAATCCTGACGCAAACATCCGAGCCTTCAAACAAAATCATACTATATTAAATCCACCTAAGGTCGATCCGGTTGAGTGTTGACGCAATTTATGCCGGAAAGGACTGCAAACAATGGGTTAGCGGTTTTCGGCGGTGGAGGGCAGCCGTTTCCTCCAAGCAGCCAAACTTCAGCACCATGAATCAACCATGGGAATGCCCCTCAACTCGACATGCCAAGCCAATTGGATCCTACTCATGTCCAAAACGGACCTACGCCAAATTGGAACAGCCATGTGGCCATGATTGAAGAAGGACCCAAAGGGTGCAAATTTGCAAGCCTTATCCTTAGACCTTTCTTCCACACCCCTCTTGTTCTGTCCGCCGCTCCTCGTTGTCTTGGCATGCAGGATCTGCGCATGGGCAAGTGGCATTCGACGTGCTGTCTGTGCTGCCAGTGCTGCCTGGCAGTCCAAACAAAGCCTGCTCACGTGTCCACATGGCTGAAATGGGTCCTTCAAACCGCGTGCGTTTGGGAAGATATGAACGTCGCATCACTGTAACATGGACACGCTGGTCAGGGGAGAGGGCCACTGGTATATTCTGGAAGATGGGAGCACCAAAAAAGCAAACAGCTAAGTTGGTTGGGAGATGCTGCTTCCAATGCACTCTCATGGTCAGGGGAACTCCTTATCCTTTGTCCTAGGTCCATGAATGAACTGGTGGAAGAATCTCCAGCTTTCATCCCACTTTGGAGCAAAAACACAAACGCGAGCACACATGAACTGGGCTTCTGGCAAGCCCAAACCAGCGTTGCTCACACAGAGCTTCCCCCCTCTTCTGAACAACTCTCCTGACTCCTGACTGGAAAGGTAAATTATGGTTGAAAATTTTGAAAACAACATGAAACAACACGTAAACAACTATCCAAACACTGATCCAAACATATCAACCAGAAAAAGTCGTGATCTGGGCTTTTCCACCTGCCCACGGCTCATGCCGAGCTCGGCGCATCCTCGGAATAACCATGGCCGGCTCGGCATGTGGACTCCGGCCCGACGGCCCGGCGCAGCCGCTCCAAAGTGCAGTCGTTCAAGTCCAACTGGCGGCACTGCTTGGTGAGGTCTGAGACCTTGCACACCTGAGGAGCATGGTCTCAGTCCGAGTCCAATCCCCCCGAAGAACTGGGACCCGGTTGGTCTTAGAGCATCCTTTTAAGTGGATATGGGGGAATGGAAAGGGTTCGTGAAAGGCATCAGGTTGCAAAAGGGTTGCTAAAAACCAAACCCGGTTGTATACCAACTACGAAACACACCTGATTCATTTTCATTCATGTGTCTTAAAACCAACTCTTGGGATTGGTAACAACTCTGAAACCTCAAGGCGTCAAGCAGAGACCTCTGGCGTCGAAACCCCGAATCTTCTGGCCGACTCGGAGCGCCGACGACTCGTGTCCAGCGGCGTCCCGCAAGAGGTTGGCTCAGGCAACTCAAATGGCCTCTCCAGCTGAAAGAAAGGGCCTGGACTGCCTGGATGTTTCTCAGTTTTCGCGATCCAAGATACAAAGTCATCCCAATATGATTCTGACCTTAGGCCGTTCATGGCGATATCAATGGGCGCATGGCCAAAGATGACACACCACAAGGATGCAGGATGGAACCACTCTCTGGAAGGCCATTTCATTGTCTAGCACTGTTGGGAAAGAATCTAGAATCTAGAAAAAAGGACATCCGCAATAGCCGAGGCAACCCAAACCACAGTATATAGCCCAATAGTTTTGATATAGTCGACTGTTTAAATGTGTTTAGATGGACTTGGAGGAAGTTTATTGCATCAACAGCCTCAGCAGATTTGCCCACTGTGGTTGCAACCTCATTCCCCCAAGGGCCTGAGCCTCTGGAGACTGCCCAGTCTGACTCCAAGTCGACAGGTGATCGAACTCACGAATCTATACCCGGTAGAGTCTGGTTCCACCAACTGGCGCCAGTTGCAACTGGGTGGAAGTTGTTCTCTGAAGGTTCCGCTGTGTTCCACCACGAAAAGGGTGGAGTCCAACATTCTCCAGCTTGTGCTGCTGCTATGGGGTCTGAAGACAGGTCTTCGTCCTTTCCAGGATCCTTTTAATGGGTCAAGTACTGGGTCGAGTACGTCCGCAGCCCGCATTGGCTCGGTGCTGTTGCTCCGGTCGGTCTGCCGCCCCGGTGCTTCAGGGTTTCGGGATCCACCATGACGTTCAAATCGAAGCAGCTCACACCCAAGAGTCCTGGAGTCAACGGCACGGCCGTTGGTTTTCCACCGGTTTGATCCCCCTGGCGAGAATTAAAGGTGGACAAAGGGTGGAGGATCATTCTGAGGCACGCTCGAATGGCATCCCTCTGGGAGAAATCATGTTGCAATAGGTTGCATACACTTGAAGGAGGTTGAGGGAGGACAGATGCTTTAAAAAAACTTGGTCAAAAGCGCCTCTTGTAGCTGTGCGGCCGGTGTTCCAGAAAGCCAATGCAGTGGTTTCAACAGGAACTGCCAGGAACTGCATGTTGTTTGCATGTTTACTGCAAGCAGGTGCTGTACTTCTTGGCAGTCTGGGATTCTTGTCTCCAAAGACTTTTCTTGTGAACCTTCAGCAAGTTGGGTACACAACCCGACTGATTTTTAGTGGAGGGGATCAGGAGAAACCCATCCGCAGAACACCGGGTAAACCAATCAGCACAAATGTAATCAAATGTATGGAGACGTATGCCAGCAGTCACAAAGGGGTGCGATCCATGGAGGTTAGGGGTGCCCATTATCCACTCACTTGGGGACAAAACACCACCCCTTTACACTCTGTTTACACTATAAAAACAACATGACACTTTTCTACTTCCGGTCGGCTCTTTCCACCTCTTTACCACGGTCCTTCCCCGTGCCAAGAGCAAACATTCATCTCTTCCTTTTAAGGCCCTACACCAAAAGAAACACAACTTCCTCTCCACGCCTCTCACTCCTGATGATGCATCATAGGCCGGCAAACAGGAGGGCCAAAGCTCCGCACCAGTCACGGAGTCCTAGCGACTTGGCAGCTGGCGACAGCGAGCCAGTTGGCTTTCTTTACTGCTGCCAAAGAGTTTTTGACTTGACCAGCTACAGTAGCTGGAGAAGATTTGGTTTTTGCAACCCCCAAGTCCTTCTACTGTCGATACCCACGCATTAAGGCTTGAGGTTTGAACAGTGACGCTTATTCCACTAGAATCAGCATGAATCAGCAGCATATTCATGCAACATGTCAACATCTAATGAAATGGCAGCAGCAAGCCCAGCCCAGCCTTGTAATGCGTGAAGGAAGGAGTGCAAATCTCCACGCCACTCGCAAAGTACTCATAATACCTCGACATCACCTCACCGGAGCGAGGTATGCAGAAAGGGCTTCGTTGGAGGTCTTCAGCCGGAGACTTGTTGAAGAGCGGTCCTTCACTCCACAGACTGGTTGCATGGTCACCGGTTGGCGAAGATGGATCGACAGTTGAATCCAAAAAGCTATCATCACATGTTCATATTATACATGTTCCATCAATGTTTTTCCTTTTGCTGATACTGAATTCTGGCCATCCTTGGTGTCGCCCTGTAGTTTTGACATGCAATGCAATCCTTGTAGGATGCAATCAAAACCACCACAACACCGCCGGACCACCTGGCTGCTACCTCGTAACAGCCGCTACTACTTCCGCTGCGCCGCTGGGCGCCGTGTTCCACGCGGTTCGCAGCCCACGTTGCCTTGGAGAGGTCTACTCCATCGGCGAGTTGGTAGAAAATGCCTAAGGCGATATGGCAAGGTGACTCTGCAGCGCGAGTTGCTGAATGAGCGAGTGAGTGGATGGGCTCATATGAGGGAGCAAATAGGGAGCAATGGGAAAAAGGACACTTTAGTAATTAAGGAAGACAGGAAGACTGTTTGCGATTTTTGGGAGTTTGCCAGTGATGTTTTAAGGTTATTCTTGGTGACAGCTGGAGGAATTGAGTCTAGAGATGTCAAGAGAACAAATTTAGCATGTGATTCTGGTATTTGGATTTCTTGATACATTGATGAAGCACGAGACGCTGCTCGTGATAGGTTGGCCTGTGAAAAGAAAGGATGACCTTGGGAAAACGATGTCCTTCTACAGTCCCGGCAGTGAACTGGGAGGTTTCGGCCGGTTACTTCCCATGCAATGTCCATCAAGGAGAACTAACAAAAATGACCTTCAGAAGCTACCCACAATCTGAAGCACCCTGAAATAAACACCTCCTCTGAGCAAGGCCCTCTGTAGTTCTTCCAAGGGGAAAGCTCTGCTATCTAAAACGTCCCACTTCCTCCCAAAAAGACCAGCCCAACCATCGCGAACCCAAACGTCGCGCCACCAGCCGCCCAACATGCCTTTGTTCTCACAGGCCAAACGCTTGGTGATGGTGGTGTCAGCACCAGAGCCCAAGGCATAAGTGAAGATTGCAACACCTTGGTTTGAGAGTAGGCGGCTTTGGGCTCGAACGGAGCCGAGACAGGGCCACCAGCTTTGGCACATCACCTGTAACAAGAGCAACCCTCGGACCGTGGATCATGGATCATAGCAGGGTGATCCCCAAAGCTGCGGACGTTTTGTTGGAGTTTGGGATTCCAGATGCTAATTGAGCCGCACTAGTAGGCTGCAAGTATATCCTCAAGGAACTTGGCGGAACGCCCTCGGGAGACTCTCCTCACAGGTCAAATCAGAAAAAACTCGCCTCAGAAATCCTTTCAAACTACCGACTGGTGCGACTCGTAGGGAATAAGGGAATGAGCCCACAATACAGATTCTATTGGATCCATTCCCTCATTCCCTGCTAAGCACCAGTCAAACTACGTCCATACTCTCCACAGCCCCGTCCAACCTCTCCAAGGCACTATGTTGCTCCGCCTGCGCGCGAGTCCTTGGGGGTCAAACAGTGTGGCAGGGAGCATACGCCGCTCTCCCGTGGCGGGAGCCGCCGATCCCTTTTTCAGGCCGCCAACATCATTAGCTGAACATATCCAACATCTACAGTGATATGGTATGCACTTTTGAGGGAGGCCTATCCCTTTTGCAGGTGTTAAGCTAATTTCTGAAACTCACGACCGATCTTCAGTGAATTCGTCGTCCAACGTTTTGGCGATTGCACCCAGCAACCGGAACTGGAGACGTCCAATTACATCAAATCTCTCAGATGTCACCCAAATTGGCCACTCAACCATCATCAACCCGTGGCCCCCATCTGCTCCGCCCGCCAAAAACGAACAACGCTTAAGCCGAAGCGCGAAGAGAAGTCGCTTTCGGAGAAGTCGGCCTCGCCATCGGTCAGAAACAAGATGGCCTTCCGCGGACGCAGGCGCAAAGCGTCGCCGTTGGTTCTCTCGCGAAAAGCGCTGCTGCTGTGCAGGCGCAGAAAAGCGTTTCACAATGTTTGACGGATTTTCACGGCAGAACGTCGTTATCTCGTTTTTTTCCTATTTGGAGACGACCGGAGTAACTTGCATCAAACTCTCCGGGTTCTTCAACATACCGTTTTTCTGGTTGCTTAACTCATATCTCATATCCCCAAGCGGGAAGCATTCCGAGTGATGTCTACCCTTTTTTTGTTACGCCCGGGCATTCCTGAACAAGAGATGAGACACTGCAACACTGCTTGTGCCCTTGCACCCTGGTGGCTAGCGGCTAGCGTGCCACCGACCATATTACCCCGGAGACAAAACCAATGACATACCTACCTACATGATAGCCTCACGCTTGGTCCAAAAACACTCGAAAACATACCTACTCGGTCCAAGCGAAAAACACATCTCTATATTCGAAAGGATTTCGTGATTATACAGAACCCTGAGCAAATTCTTCTGGACCATGAAAAACCAAACATGAAGCAGGGTTTCTGAGTGCGGGGATCGTCAACATCAAAATGTTCATCGAACTTTCTGGCTTCGTAAGCCTATTTGCTTGAGCTTTCTTTCTGGCTTCCTAAGCCTACTATCAACATGAACAATTTGCAAATGAAGTAGCATCCTTCTGTCTTCATTCGATTCGCCGATGTCACCGATGTCGTCGATTCGCTCGGCCCACCTTTTGACACATCGAAGTACTTCCAGAGCTCACGCTCTTGCTGATGACCTGTGGAACTGTGCGAGCGAAACGCGTGTGGCTGTGCGGTCTGGCAAAGCGTGCGTCTTCACCAGAAGCGCGCTCTGTCGGCCTTCACACGGCTCCAACTCCGCCGGCGTCTTGTTAGGAAGGCAGCCACGCACGACGCGTCGATGTGCATCTTCACCCCAAATTGAGTACTGTTTGACAAAGAGTAGTGACAGTGTCCATGAAACGAGGGATTACCAAACCATCATAACATTCATAACCATCGATATAGGCGAAGTATACTGCACCAGCGACACATCTCCTCATGCCCAGCGACACTGAAGGCCGCATTCAAAGCTACCTTGAAGTTCGTGCCACCCGATTCCTAGCGGCACTGGCAGCCGAGGCACTGGCAGCAAGACCTAACACCTAACACCTCGGGTCTCGTGTTTCATGGTCAAAGCCAACACCATCCAGTTCAGGTGACTTACTGTACCCAAACACTCCATGGGACTGCCATATATGCCTACATTGACCCCCCAAGTCACCCCAACTGATCGGCATATATGGCAGTCCCATGGGTCGTGTCTGAAGTAATATATATATATATATAGACCTTTGTAGGTGGTCCTGCATGGTAGAAAGGAACATCCCTCAGGACGTTGGTGGAACCGCCCACGGACCGGTCGGAACAGCGTCAGCCCGTGGGGTGAGGGGCAAAATGGTCGGCAAATAGCTGAGCTGGTTACTGGTTCTGGTGCACCATACTGCGCGTCATTTGCGACCGGGGCTTGATGTTGACTATATAGTTTCCGGCCAAAAGAGTCGGTGAGGTCCCCCCCCAAAAGAAAATAGGGACCTAAGAGCCAAATGCAGTGCTGAGGACAGAAGAAAAAGCGAACCAGAAAGGGTGTGCGAAGGTTTCACTAGCGGGTGCTTCATCTGCCCTTTTTCCAGTTCAGCCAGTTCTACCGGTCGACGCAAACTTGAGGCATCGATTCCCTACAAACAAGGGGTGCCACTGGTCCTGTCGGTGACTGTCGCGACTGTCGCTAGTCGCACACACGTTGGGCCCCATGCTGCTGGCTAGAGTCCCAATTGTGGTTGTTCAACCATGCTTGCATGTTCTTTCCTGAGCCGCCACGATGATGGAGGGCTGAGGTGCCGAAAATCCAACGAAGTGGAGCGTCACATGACTGAGGGTCCGGCTGACCTTGAATAACCAAAACAGGGAACATCAAGAAACCATTTTTACAAGCAAAATCTGTCGTTTACCTGATGTACCTCTCAGAATGACTTCAACCCAGTAAATTCAAGTTATATGAAGTTATGTTTATTTTTTACTTATATAACTGAAGCAGTGCTTCCGGAAAGACACAACAACATGGAACAGCTAATTCCTCGTGAGGAGGAGCAAATTTCTTCATGAGCAGCATGTACTAGGGCAAGTCAAAGCTGCCCACCAACCCCAAACCTAGAGCTTGCAAAACCTACTGACCTACGAAACCAAGTTACCTGCAAACCCACTGACCTGCAACTTCCGCAACTTCCATAATGTGAACATCACAATTCTCCCCTGGGGGCTTCTGATAGTCACACCGAAAAAAGAACATTGCCAGGCTGAGTAAGAGTATGCCGAAAACTCCAATGGAACCTCTATGCAAACGATTGCAAACGCCTGTGAGATGTGGCATACATGACTGTCCTCTGCTATCATAGGGGCACCATGCAGGAGAATATGTGTCTTCTTGTTTTCCCCCTGCCGCAGGTCAACATGGATCACACTGTAGATATATAACAACTAGTCTCAAATAACCACATACAGTAATACCATACTGTAGCTAGTCCAAGGGTCCATCCAGACTTCCAGGGTGGCCCTCTCAACAAAATAACGCATCCTCAAGACTGATCAAGACTTACTTATAGTTGCCATGTATAGACAAGCACTCACGGGGCAAGATCAAAACAGAAACGGATCATAGTGTGAGATGAGAATATGATATATATATATAGAATGGTTGGTCATGAACATGTCATACAGTCATACACAACTAAGTGAATCTCTCCAGGCATTTTAGGGATGCAACATCAATTGGCATGGCCTTTCTTCATCCCTTCGGCCTCGTCAACCCTTCGTTCGGCCGCGGTCCGAGCCGCTTTCGGAGTCGGTCATGGAGACCAGTCCCTGCGGCGCATACTCGGCCTGAGCAGCGGTTCGATGGATTCGGACCCCTCCACCGGTAGAGCATCGGCCTGGGGCGTAGGCAGCTCCAGAGTGACATGTGCAAACCGTCGAAAAGCCGAACGACCGAACAAAGGAGGTCTGGCAAGTGATGTGATTGGTGGACCTCTGTTCCTGCTTGGAAAAAAACGTTTGGGGAGCGCACCATGATTTGGTGCGTGACAACTAGAAATGCTTCTCACTCAGAAAGCATCCTGAGAGTGCTCCGACAAAGCCACAAAAACATGTCAATGTGTGTGAGGTCATTTGCCCAGGCACCACGATGCCCCCGTTGAAGAGAATGATGTCGGCAAAGTCCTTCCACCATCGAACCAACGAGCGTTCCACCCCTGCGGTTCGTGTCCAGCCACGCCCCGTGACGCGCGTCGCTCCGCGCGCCGGACAGACCGAAGCATCCATCCGGTCGAACCCTTCGGTCGTCCGATCCGAAGATCGAAGAAACTCCAACCGCAAATGGAAGTGTTATTTCGGCCACCGACCAAACACAAACATCATAAACATCTCTTCCCCTTTTTCAATCTTTTTCAGCTCTTGAGATCACAGTTGATGTCAGTCTGGTCTTCCTCTCCCTCTCTAGGCGTCAAATCCCTACTCAATGCCTCACATAGCAGCCCAAAGAGCCCTTTTCACCGGGCCCCATTTTCACTCCAAGTCCTTTCAGTCCCAAGGTCTTCATCCAGTATCACTGTCACCTATCCAAAGCCCACCACCCCTAAGAATCCTTGGGCCTTTATAACAGCAGTTTTCCGGACTGCCTCAACCCTATGTTGGTCCTCAGCCGGGCAGAAGACATCCCCCACATATCCCCCATTTCTTCCAGTCCTTCCATTCCAAGGTGTTGATCAAGTCATTGGCCGCCTGCTTGGCCTTGGTGCTCCTCCCCGACGCTTGCATGCTGCCACTCACGTCGATGACGATGACTACGTCTTTAGGTCCCGTGGAGCCCGACGAGTACCTCGACCGAGGCGACCGAGGCGCCGGCGCCGTTGCGGGCCGACGCGGGGTGGGCGGTTGGGGGGGGGGGTGGGGGCGAGGTCCGGTTGAGGTGGAGGGTTAGCTGGGCTGGGCTTAGATGGCAAGAGCTCGAATGAGTCAACTTAGATCGAAGTTCGGAGGTTATACCAGAAATCATCCGAATATGTGCCAGGTACAGGGCTGAAATGCCACGGGCTCGAGCAACCTGGCGGCTTGGACATGTCCGTGGTTGGCTTCTCCATCACGAGATATCACGAGAAACACTTTGAGTGAAGGTTCAATGAGGGGAGTCATCTTACGGTTTGGCGGCGCAACTAGTCTCTCCGCCACTGCACCCCACATGCAGTGCAGGATAAACGACAGCACTCTACAAACCCTAGGGCTCCAGCCATATCCTCAGGTGGTTAGACCCCCCAAACCCACCATGACCATCTTATCAGGAGGTGGGCCAGGAGCCCTAGGAAAATGCAACATCAAAGACTTGGTCAACTCCAAACGTTCCGGGGGGTCGTCACCATACCTGGCCAACCGGGTGCCGCCAACCTGGCCATCTGCCAGAAACTGCTGTCCGAACCGGACCCCCATCTGATATATATCCATATACCCAGAACCTGAATGACCTCTATTTTGGACCACCAACCGCCCAAAATATGGCCTTTTACTATCAAAACAGGGGTCAATTGGGTTCCAGGAAGGTGTGTATATATATATATATACATGTTTTATGCGGCCATGTGGTCGTTCACTGTGGCCCTTAGTTTCCGACTACACAACTTTCAGAGTCCAAGAATCCATGGGCGCAACCGGGGGTCATAGCTTGCAGCAGGGCACCACTCCACTGCGGGCCATCCCAAATAGCCTCGACAGAGATGAGGTGTTCAAGCTTGGACCCTGGATATCTGCTTATTCAATGTTAAGTCACCTGAAGCCCTGAGTAGATATACTCTGAATCTCAGGATAGTGGTCCTCACGAGGGGACATGGCTGAAAGTCACTCATTCCCAGTTTTGGTCGCGCGTCCAGTGAAAGCATCTCCAAGGCGAGAAAGGATAAAGGATTTGCCAGACGCTCATGGACCCTCATATGGAGGGGTCTGGGGTCTCAAATCCCTCAGTCTTGAGAGACCAGTCGGGCTGTTTGGAGCCTCTGGGTTCAACATATTTCAACCTAAATGGCATGGAGAGCTTTGAGTTCTCTTCCACAAACCACACAAACCAAACATCCACCGGAGTGGCTTCGGTCGCCCACCTGCCGGAAAGCGGAAAGCGGAAACCCACCACTTCGAGGTGAGTCATCCAGTGGTAAACCACCTTTGGGAGAGCACCATCTACTCGGAAACCACTGCAATCGACCGTCATCCGTCATCGATTGTCACGCGCGCCCACAACGGAAAACAACAATGGCTCACTGCTGGAAAACCCGCCATGTTTAAAAAGAAAGGCTGTTTTTAAGGGGGGTTTTGGTTAGATCTTCCAGAAAGACTAGCAGTTCTCTAATCATTCTCCGCCAAGGAGCTTCCGCTTTCGTGATCCGAAAAGTAGATATAGCCCACGCGTTCGTAAGGACTTCCCTCCTACAAGCGCTTTCCAATGAGCCCAACTTGCACGCTGCCCATCCCATTTGGCTCGCACAAGGAGTGTGCGTTTTGCTCGCTCGCATGTCGCTGCTTGAATAGTGCTGGCAGGTTTGGGGTACAGGTGTGAGCCATCATGAAATACCCAACAAGTAAATCAAAGCTTTTCTAGGCAGAGTTGAAAGAACAATACTGAACAAAACAACAATCAGTCTAGTCTGGTAGAATATAGTAATCCTGCGCGTAGGCTTGTCAATTTGCACCTCATTCTGGTCATTGAAATCCACAAATTCTTACAGGATCATCAAACATCATCAGGAAGGCACCCTTGTCCTGGACTTCCCTGTCGCACCCCTCAGCGATTGTGCCCACGTGAAACACCGTATCCCACCCTCCTTGGCGGCCACGTTCATGTAGCTCTGCGTCACTGGACGCGACAAGCACTGAAAGCTCGCATCTGCCGGTGTTCCAAGGAGCAGCAGGAGTTTCTGAGTGAATAATCATCCTCATGAGGTGAACTAAGTGGATTGTGTGTTCTTCTGTGGGTGCTTCTTATCGTTCTTATGTGTGTGTGTGTTTCATGGGGTTTCCTTTTGAGTGGACATGTTTGTTTGTTTTTCCGCTATGGCTATACATCTATCATGGTCCAGTGAATGAGCGGTTCCTACGAAGTGGTACGTTGATGGGTGTTTGCTATTGGTGGATGTATGTTCCTACTATCATGACACGGGATAATGCAAGTAGCGGTGCTGCTCTTATGGGAAAAATAGCTTACTCATACTCTCTTAAAACATCGCACAACCCCCTTGAGTGAAGGCAGGAAGCCCTGAGTGAAGGCGGGAAGCCCTCTCGGCTTTCTCAGTTCAAATGCTCTCTCAGGAAGACCCCACCCAGCCCCAGCCCCAGCCCAGCATTTGCAGCCCTGACATTTGGTCCAAACTTGGTTTGAATTGGATCGTCACGAGGATCGACAGCAGACACGGGGAGTCCAACGATGCGAAAAGGATGCAAGACAAGACATAAGTTAAACTGCTTATGATCCAAGGGATATCTAAGAATCTAATGAAGGACAATAGGGTTTTGGATGACAGGGTTTTAGATGATGTTCACAATTCTTGCCTGGTCTGACCGGTTTGCTGCAGCCTGAGCAGGCTTTGTCTGACTGGTCACGTGCGTCTGCGAAGGCGCCGCCCGCCTTTGGCATTCACGCCCACGTTGCCGAAGTCGGTCTTGCGGTTCCACAAAGAGCTTTGCTGAGAGCATTCTAAACATGGACCTCACCAAGTAAACATGGACTTCACCAGGCAATCATGGACCTCACCAGGCAATCATGGACCTCACCAGGTAATCATGGACCTCACCAGGTAAACATGGACCTCACCAGGTAAACGTGGACTTCACCAGGTGTAGGCCCCACTTGCAAGTTGGCAGGCACTGGTTTAAGCACTGGTGCAACCATCTGCGACCGTCACGACGAAGCGCTGAACACCTACGTCCAGGGTTTCCAGGGGACGAACCTAGCTCACTTCGATGCCGATGGGCATCCACCCCTGCACCCCTAGACTTGGAACGCTAAACTCAATGAACTCAATGAGAATACACGGGCAGCAACCCAACCCGCTCTTACTTGCTCAACATGTGCCTCATCGGACTGTTGTTGAAGGCACCTTTGGAGTGCCAAAGTGGACTAAAACTGAGGATGTACAATTGGACATAGTCGAACTATACACCGAAACGGTTGGGTCAGGTAGGTCACCTGGTCAACTCACCGGTCCACTCGCCGTCCTTCTTTTTCAGGGCTTTGTGGTGGATCCGCGCAGTATGCTTCGAGGTCATGCACCAGAAGCCCTGGAGCTAAAGGTTCAGGTTGATGTTGTGATGTCAAAGTGCGGGTCACCTTCCCTTGTTTTGCTGAACATGGAACAAAACAAAGACACCATAAAACATCTCACTCAGGACCATGATGCAGACATATCCAACATCCAGGACCTGGAAATCCCTTCCCCCCCGTTTCTGTACCAAAAATATCCTCCGGCTTTCCCTCCAGCTTGAATCACTGGACCCTTGCGGTGGCCCCAAGCGTGGGAAAGAACCAACAGGAGCTGAAAAGTCTACCAGTCTACCTGGCCCTTCCACCTGGCAATTGGAGGAACCTCACTCATCTCACCTATTAGCAAACCAAAGCATGGCTGATTCCCTCCTAGGTGATCTTTGTCTGGCAAATGATGATTTTTGCGTGTTGTTTTACAGCATTGCACACCTTCGACCCACATCAGATCCTGACTTGCAGGTACTCCCTCGACCGATAGTGTGCAACAGCCAGGCCGCATTGATTAGCAAATTCGCATCCATCGCTTTGTCTCAAATTGCTGTACCTCTGGCGGAAATACAGCACACAATCCCCCAGTGGACATGTTCGAAGCTTTTCAAGATCAATTCTGGAAGTTCAGTGGAACCTGGAGCACTTTGTTCGGTTGCAGTTTGTCCCCTGGCCACTTGTTGTAGTCATGCTCGAGCAACCACAATATGATGAGACCAACTAATAAGCATGCTTTTGTAATTTATGATCGAGATGGATAATGACATACAATTGCACAACATGCACATACTGTTCCCACTATTTAATTTTTGATCTGCTGGTTCAAATGATTGTTCATTCATTTGATGTAGACATTCTTTGCACCCTCTGGGCATACTTTTCGGCCTCTCCAAGAACCGCATCCCCTTTTACAGATTCAGCATCCATGATGGCTCTGAGCAAAGAACACCTGTTCAGACAAACACCTGAACTCAAGGCACAACATGTTCAACTGGAAGGGGATTGGGGTGTGGAGTGATTCCCTTATGCAGAGTATCCCTGCAACATTTTCAAAAAAAAACACCGTCCGGACTGGATCCCCCTCCGGCACGTGGAATCCGAGACCCGAGACCCGAGACCCGTTCTCCGAGCTGCTCGGTCTCGACCCGGTTCCGCGTGCTCCACAAGTAGCCTTGCACCACGTCCAGCAGCTCCGTCACTTGGCTGGAAGTGCTGCCACTGCTGCCGCTGTTCCATTGGCTGAACCTCGGTGACCCCAACGGTGACAGCAGCCCAAGCCGGAACAAACTCCTGGAGGGGCTTCAACGCCTCACCCCCCTGCTTCAACGCGTCAGAGAAGTCTGAGCACCACGCTACCACCAACATGGGGCATCCATCATTCATGATCCGATCCAAATAAGCGACCACTCTCTGTGGACCATCGAGTCATCATGACGCGTTGATGTGTTTCTTTGGTTTCTGCCCGTCTGACATGTCTAAGACTGCGGCCTGGCTTTAGATCCAAATAACAAAGAACATCAGCTAAATGCTTTGTTCTGTGCACGCTCTTTACACATTTTACATGTTACAATATCTGTCCACATGGTGATTAACACCTTAAGATTCTTAAGTACTCTTCTTAAATGCACCTGTTCTCGCCTCTGCAGCTGACCATTTCAACAAAAAGGTCGGCCAACCCGGTCTGACCCACCGGTCAGGGAAGGCACTCGTTGGACTCGCCGCAGGTCTGGTAGCTGTAGTACGCGTCGGAGTTCTCGAACAACTTGCTACGATAGGGCACCGCCTCAATTCGGTCCATGAAGGAAGACGTTTGGGAAAACGAGGGTTGGGAAAACGAGGGTCTTGCCCTGGCCTGCTTAAATGGCATAAGCACCGTAGATGCTTATAGCACTTATATAAGTTACTATATATCATAAGTTGGTATAGGTGCATTTTGATATCCCACACACTTTAGGGATGTTCGAAGCCGTGGGCATTGAGGGTGGAACAACTCGTGGGAGGGTTTGCATCCATATTTCCTAGGGGCATGCGTCATGACCATGCCATCTGGGATGTAGACAGTTGCGTCTAGCGGGTCTAACTCTTTCCTGTTCTCACTCTATATAGTGACTAAAAAAGAAAAACGTGATTCGAAAATACCGTTCTGTTTCGCCCAGCTGCATTGCTGCAAGCGTTCTTGTCGACGTAGCACCACTTCTGCGCACACCAGGCGGGCGCCGCGTTTCCATCGCCTCGTCCGTGCATGTCGGGTGCGCGGCATGGGAGCGGAATCCTCTTCGTTGACCCTCTGACGGTCTCAGGCTCCCCAAAACGGAACCATACTGAACCCGGGTCCATCGGTCGTCTACCTATCGGCTTTTTACCCTGCGTGTCACCGTTACAGTGACTCTGGCAGGGGTGCTTGGTTTGGACTTATATGCTCTTTGCCCACTTGGGTCAGTGAAACATGACGCATCACACTTTTGATTAGCAAGGATCGGTATCACAGACTTTCTGCCGTTGAACTTTCACACTGCATTGCTGCCAAGCGATGTCAAGGCACTTGTAAGTTTGGAAAACACTTCCAAGACTTCTACCCTCAAACGCTCACTTGTATGTGCAATGGGGAGGGGAATTCTCACGGGAACATGGTTCCAAGGCAAGTGCAGGCTTGCTATTAATTTAATGCAATTACAATGACCAGCAGGATGTGCCTCTCGTCATCACGCGCATCAAAGCACTTATGAGGAGAACAGTCTTAGGGTATCTTTGGGTCAAAACATATCCAAATGACCACTGTTGTCTTACAAAAGCGACCGCGATCACCATGCTGCCAAGCTGCAAAAGGGCGGGAGCCCCAGGTCGTGTGCCTGAAGAATCGGCGCGGATGGATCGGCCACGGAGAGACCGACCGGCCCCAATGGACTGGAGACACACCGAGCAAAGCAACGAGACCGGACCAGCGACCGACCTGTCCGGAATGAAAGGAAGGTACTCTCCAGAGTTTTGGTAACAACTCTCCTGATCTGATGTACACTCCGAAAAAAACACATTTGGAAGTGGAGTAAAAACACACAAACACCATGCAGAAGCATAACAGAACCTCCAAAACCACTGGGGTTGAGAGGGGAAAGACGGTCCAAACATGTCAAAACCACAGGTCTTAGGGTACATGGGATCGTCTGCAACGTCACCAAAGGTCCGCATCCGCAGTAAGGTCCATCCGTTTGTTCGAGGGCAACTCCCAAACTCGAAGGCGCAACAAGGAGAGCACCAATGCCAACCGTAGGGCTCCAGTCGTACCTCCTCAGAAGGCTTTGGTTGCTCCTGGCACCCACCCCAAACACCTTCTCAGAAGGTACGGCTGGAGCCCTGGCCAAGGGTTCTTGTCGCCCCCAATGCCACTTTTTGGGGTCCAACAATTGCGGCAGCATGTTGGACTGATCAACGAGTTCTGAAGAGGGCCACACACTAGTACTAGTGGTTAGGTACGGTATGTATATATATATATAGTATAGTAGTTTGGTATTTATATAGATAGTATATCAGGAAATTTGCCTCCTTGAAGAAAATATATGTGCTCTCAGTGGTCTCTGCACATGCGTCTCTCTCTCTCTCTCTTGCTGCACCTCCCGTCTCTGCAATCTTTTCGCAACAAACCCACGCGCCTTGCACTCCAAATTGCCATAGTTCAGAGGATAGTCATATCCAGTCCCCCGTTGCCCCTTGGGCTTGTAGCGAACCCTTAGACACGAGTCACAACAGGTTGTTCTTTGTTTCGAAGCTTCTCCGCAAAGGGGTTGGACGTTTGTCAGGTTGTTGGAATGAGTGAGCAATCGAACTTTCCTTTGGAATATCTCATCTCCCTGTCCATGCTCAGCTGAAGCTACCACCACAAGGTTTGTTGGAAAGCAAGTACGCCCTGATGGTTGGATTGCAATGGTGTGCCGTCGTTTCCACACTCCCCACTTCCCTACTTGCTAACGCCTTGTCCATACCATCCGGTTCAGAATGGAGTGACATCTCATGGACACACGCATGCGCAAAGCGCAGCGAAGCTTCACATCCCCAACGCGGTAGTTGTCCAGGTTGGCCCATTCAACGCCTGATGTGTGGCGCGCAGCAGACACATCGTCCAACGATGCCAAGTCCGAACAGGACATGACAACCCGCAAAACACATGTTCCATTCTTCTGAGAGCAGGGGAAGTGATGTTTTCTTTCACATCCACCATCTTACTTCCATGCAAAGCAGGGGCCCCTCAGTGTCCCAAACGCACTCATTCTACCAAACATCCAAACAGGTACGTCATGAGAGGTACATTGAGCTCGCACGGTGCAGGCCCTCCATATGTGTTGTCTTCACGTTTTGGTCTTCACCACATGCTGGGCTGACCTGTTCTTCTCCTGAACCCTTGACCATCCGAAACGGAGACAGCGGCCTCGCCATCGGCGAGACCACGGCTGTTAGTACCGGGACTCTGTTAGTCAGGGGAACCCCCCAAAAAATACCTGGGAAATAATAGCATAGACCAAAACCCGAACTCGGGATCTTCCGACCTCAGATGCTGACCTCGGATCTATAAATGGACCGTGAACAATTCATTCTGGATTTTCAGCTCCTCCAATCATAAAATGATTGTGGATGTTCAGCATACATTTTCCTGTTTAAATGTCTTATTTTGGGCATTGCCATTTGTAACCTGAAATCAACCCACAAAGACTACCCCTCACAAGCAGCCCAAACCTTCAACTACTCCAGACCTCAACTAATACTAAACAAACCCTAGCTGGTTCTTTTGGTAGTTTCCTTTGCAATTCCTTTAAGCTCCAGCTTGCAGGCCATGGTTGTTTACAGTCAACCTTTTGGTTTCCAATCTGTCTGGATTTCTCATTTGGCTGCTGCATGTTCCTTTCATTTTCCTTTGATTTCATTTCCTTTCATTTCATGTTCCTTTCATTTCGGAGGTTATTATTGAGAGGCTTACATTAAATTACAAACCCCAAATAGAAACATGGTGGTACGGTACCAAGCACGCAAACTTGCAACGTACTTCACCTGGCTTCAAACCATCGAATCGAACCATGTTCCAATCTTAATGTAAATGTTTGATTACATAATACACCCCCGCAATTGACTTGAAACACCCCTTCATATGAGGGGTTTGTTAATCAGGAGTCTACATTAATTAAGGTTGCAGGACGGTACATTGGGCATCCGAGGCGCAAGGACATGAAGGTAGTCCGGTGACCGTGAGATCTGCCAAGCTTGGTGTTCCAAGCAGCGCCAGCAGCGATAGCAGTGTTCTCATGACGAATCTTTGTCGCCACAAGTGGACTGAAGAAACCAACCAGTCGATCCAAGCAACATGCATGAAGAGTTGTGTAATTTTTTTCCAATGATTTGACATAATCACATATAAATAAAATAATCTATGATGATGTGTGCATTTCTTCCATTGATCTCTCTGAACGTTCAGCCCCTTCCGGTTGGGCCAAGCAACCACCGGTCCCAGCATCGGCTCAGACGAAGACAACAATCGACGCGGCATCGGTGGGACCCGTGGTGACTTTGGGTCGGCAGGTGGTTCTTCCGAGCGCACAAGAGAGTCCAAAGTGTGTGCGTGTGCGGTGGGTGCATGCAAAGAGTTGGAGCTGGAGGCGATCTTATTTGGGGGGGGGCAAGATCTTGGCGTTTTTTGGACTGGTCACACTGGAAATCCCGTCTCCGATTCAAGCACGGGCTTATGATGAAGGCTAAATGGAGGGCGTGTGGGAGAAAGGGGGTTAGCAAAAATTGACCATACAAAGTTAGTGCGAGGGCCTCTGTCTATTTGTATAGCAGTAAGGGAAAGTGGATGTGTCATGAACGTTGAATGTTTCCGTCGCACAAAACCTGCTCCGAACAGTTCTTGAACTATGTGCTGTCCACAGGCACAATGCATGAAGCATGCATGAAGCCTTTGCTGTTGTACTGAAACCACTGCAGGTGACCAACGTTGATTAGCAAGACACCGCCGTGGACCATCTTTTCCCACATGACGTTTGGGAAGTTGGGCCTTGTCTTCAGTGCCAGCCCATCAGGAATCCCCGAACTGTTGTTGGAAATCTTAATTATTAATGAGGATCTGCATAGAGGATCTGCATCTATATATATATATATATATCAACTCCTGGATGAATCTGGCATCAGTTGGGGTCCACCAATGAGCCGGAGCTACTGATCAGAATGGGCCTCTTACCGAATGCTTTCATGCATTCATCTTGACTCAACACGTATGTGAGCAGTAAAGGTCAAAAATGCACCAGAAAAAGCAAGCAAAACAAATGACCTACCAAACATAGGCAGATTCTTGAAAGTTTTTGACCAGTATATACTCGTACGACGACACACCGCCAAAAGGCTGGACGTGACGTCCAACCGTGCGGATTAATCGCACCAAATCACATGAGGCAGAACGCCATCAGGTTGGGTCTGCTTATTCTGAATGGGAAACAACAAAGAAGAAAGCAAACCAGTGTTCCAGTGATGACCCCCTCATGTTGGGTCAAACCACCCAGGAATCCTCCGCGGTTGGGGTCAGAAAGACTCCACTGCAGCGTGGATGATGGTTCAGAGATGTTCACTTGGCCAATTGATGGCAATTATAGTGATACTCATCATCTGCATTGTCCAGCCGTGATACTCTGATACACTCCCTGAAATATTCATTGGAAGTGGGAAACTCCCTGTTTGTGGAGGAAAATGGTCATCCAAGGGGCCACATTCCACTTCCATAATTGTTGCATGCATAAACTCGAGTCTGGGCTGTTTCCTTCCACAGAGCAACATGGTGACATGGAGTCTCGAAATATCAACACCATGAACCAGCCAGCAAGCCCATGGGAAAGGAGGTTCTTGATGTGTCTGCCTTCACAGGTCTTTGATGTGGCGACTTGGAAAAGGGGGATTCTTTTCCCTGGAAATCAAAAAGGCAGAATAGAAGCCAACAATCCCTGAGCAGACCCTTCAGTGATTCAGCCACCCACGACTTTCCCTGTACACCGCGTGAGTGTGGACAAAATGGCGCCATGAGGAGGCTCAGCAACTTGCAATTCCCTAGGGCTCCAGTCGTACATTCTAGGAAGCTGGGACCAGTGTGCCAGGAGGGTCCGAGGGTTGGGAGGTACGGCTGGAGCCCTAGAGTACTAAACATGGACTAAACAGCGGGAGCGGCGGAGGACTTCTGTACATGGGCCGTCCTGCCAAGCCTTAGGGAAGGTTGGGGACCAATCTACCAAACTGCAGACTGCAGAGACTAAACACATCAGAAATGATCATCAATGGTATTCAATAGATCAAGATAGATTCTGACTCTTCAATGAATGGACATCTTGCTAGTAGCGGTCTACCAACTCACTTCCCTCCGCTTCAAGCACACTTGCACGCTGGCGTGGGGCAAAGCACCAAAGCTGCTCTTTCACACAGCCTCAGCACAGCCAGCCCAGCCGACTGGGTCCAAAACATGTGCAAAAAAGAACCAGTTCCTGTGTTGGAATCCAAGAGGCAACTGTTCACCAGCATTTGGAGCTTATTTTTTTCTTTGCAACAGTGGGTTCAGCCTCAGCATCGAAAAAGCCGACCTACGAGTGCTTAAGACCTGACCTAAGACCTGATATACCGCCCTTGCCCTCCCCACCGAGGAGCCACTGTCAGGGCCACTGCGCGGAACGCACTCGTCTCAGGAGCGTCCGGCCAAAAATGTCCTCGCGCCTTGGGGCAACAAAGGCCAACCTTGAGGCAAACCTTTGGATCCTCCAAATCGGAGATCCATGTTGGAGTTCAAGACCATTCTCTTGACCTATGCCTTAGCTAGAAAAATCCATGTCATGGAATGTAATTCTGCATACCTTCTGCGTAATTAAAAGAACTGAACCAAAAATCCGGGCGTGGTTGAGGTGTCTTACGGTACTAAGTTTTCCCTCGGTTCTTAGATGCATCCATTCTCTGTATGAAGTACTTTCATCTTTCAGCTGCTTACAGGTGGAGGGGTGGACTCAGCAGCAGCTTGGTGCATGGCCAAGCTACAACTCCTCCTTTCTCCAGGTCTCCAGGGGTGCGATGAGCAGCTGCAACACCTCCTGCACGAAGGTTCCGCGGCGGAGCGAACTCCCGCGGAAACAACCGCGGCTCCGGTGCCCCGTGACTGCCCGTCCGGATGAAACCGGTGGATGGGAACTCCAAAAAAAAAAACGACTACTCAGCCAATGAGAAGAAATATGAGTATGTGTTTTTGTTGGATTGAAGTTCCCATATGTTTGTTTTGTTTTGTTTGTTTCTTCTCTCTCTCTCTCTATGTCTATTCTCCAGCAGCCTCTCCATAGAGTTTAAGCCATTCGGCTGAGGCGAGCCTAAGACTCATTTCCAGAAAAGACTTTTTCCTGGAGTCGGTGCGTCGACTCACATCCCTTCTTCTCCTGGAGGGCATCACATGAGACGAGCTGTCGGGCAATCAACTCTGCCAGCAACAGGGCAACGGCTTCACGCTCTTTGACCTTCTCCTGCCACGTTTCATGTGAGCCACGTGTCAGGAACCCAGGCCGAAATCGGCTGAAAACCAGTGAGATAAGCTATAGGGGCTCCTGGCCCTACTACTAGGAGCAATGGACGCTACTAGGGGCTCCTGGCCCTACTACTAGGAAAAAGCATGATGCCCCATGAATCCCCATGACATGACTCTGCCAAAAACACAACCCTTATTGGTATTGGATAGTATTGGAATATGTTTGAAACATATCCGACATATCCTGCTCAGTGAAAACACATCGTTCTCTTCACGTTCATCGGCAAGGGACACGTTTTTGGAACGGTCCGGATATGCATTCAGGGTTGGACAAGGCTCTCCCACGCATCCTTCGACACACTTCGGCGCAGTTTGAGGTTAAATCGGAAAAAGCCGGAGCCGATGGAGTCACAAGACGGGGTGGTGTTTAGTCCCTAAGTGAGTGGATGTTCTGGGCACCCCTATCCAAGTTCGGCACCCCTTTGTGACTGCTGGCATCTGTTTCTTCTGAATCATTGAGCATGGTCAGATGTTCAATGTTCGACCCGAACGCCCACCCCCGCCTGCTTGAAGACCAACTTCACCAACTTCACGATCGCTTCTTTGGAGTCCTGCGGGACGGACCCAGGTGCGTGGATGAAGAAAAGAGAGTCCTTCCCAGCTCAATAAGCTGGATGCTTTGACATCTCCATAGCTACTTGGGTCATCATGGTTCCACTAGAATCAACAGTCAACACTAGCCAACATATGGTTCGACATCTCCAATAGCTGATGGGGGTTCTACCAAGAAGCAACCGACCAAACATCTCACCCACCATCATTGAACGTGCCAGTCATCTGTGCTGAACTTGGCGTTCTTCCAGTCTTCTTCCAATAAGCTGCCATCTTTGTCGTCTCTGAAGTACTGGTACATCTTGACCACCTGAGCCACACGAACCGCCGCCAGCCAGGTTCATAGGGCACATGTAGGAATTCGATGGAATTCGGCACACGATACCCCATGCAGGAATTCTGGCCTTGTCCTCTTCCTTCTTGGGAGCCTTCGGAATGGTCCTTAAACAATCAACGTGCGATGCATGGATTAAACGAACGCTGGCCCTCAGAGGGCTTGGTTTTTCAGAAGAATCTAAGCTAAGAAGGAGCGATGGTCAAAGTAACCTACTGTATTTATATATATATATATAGTCTTCTTTTGTCTTCTAAAATGAACATGAACAAACATCATATTACAGCCTCTTCTGAACAAACTCCTTCTGAAACACCCAACAAACAACACTCACTTATCAGGCTGTTACTCAGGCGGTTTGGTTTTTTCCGCAGTGCAGGCGTCTCCAACGGTTGCGGCCAGTTGTTCTTCTTCAAATCCAGAAGGTCCACGATCACGGTCCGGATGCGCTTCGACAGGTCCTCCGGAGCGAAGATCAGCGACCGGAGCGACCGGGGCGACCGTGGAGCACAGCAAAAAGAAGCCGCGTGTAACATGTGCGTGCACATCATGTTCATACTGAACCCAGGTGGGTCATGATATTGATAATTATGAGGCATGTGATGATATATATCAATATGAGGCATGTGAAGAAATTCTCCTCCTTAAGGTTGTTCCTATAGGGGAGTGCGACTTTTTCTCTCCTTCTCTCACCTGACAGTCTAACATCCACCTTTGAACCTGCCACGGCCCCACTGTGCCTCCGCTTGTTGAAGATCCTTCAAGACCTGGCGTCTTTCAATCATAACTCTTTTGCCCAATGGAGCTACCACTTTGGGCCCAACACCTCGACCATCCATGCGATGTGAATCTTGACACCTCCTTTGTGTGGTGATCACAGGATATCACAGAAACCCTTAATAAACATCCTTTAAAACCGCAAAAACTGGTGGGACATCGTTCTTATCACAGAAAGAGTAATCAGTAATCCCATTCCTGGCCTTGAACCAGCGCAACAACTTCTTCTTTCCACGGGTTCCATCGCCAATGGCCTGCACACCGAGAACGTCCAACGTTCGACGTTCCAAGCGCCGGAAGCGCCGGGTGCCTTCAAGAGCTCGCAAGCAAACCTGAGCGACGGAGGATCGTGATGCGTCAAACCGCCGGGTGCCTTCAGTTGAAAGAAACACAGTGAATGTGACAGTTTGACCTGAAGGCGAGCCGGCCAGGCTCAAGGTTTTTGAAGCGATAGCCCGATCGAAGATTTCAACACAAAATGCTATCATGAATATATTATCAAAATATATGGTGGCATGTCATGTTTGGATGTACCGCTTCTCACGACACCAAAAACAAACAAAAGTGAACGTCCCTGGCTATTTGAGCTGCGCTGCTCAATCTTGTGCTCTGCTTTCGCCAGGACGTCCACAGATGCGCTGAGCAGATCATGGACCACTTGCTCAACGGCCTGGCCGTCAGGGCCGTGGTCTTAGCACCGTGAGCTCTACAAGTCACCACCGATTTGGAAGTCAAAGCATGTCACAGCCTCCAATCTACACTCCGAATTTGATTGATATACTTTTGATACCTGATGTAAACTGATGTATTTGGATCGATGTATATACGGAACACACCAACTCTTCCTTGGAATTTGTCGTTGGAGTCGTTGGATGTGTATCGTTTGCTGTGATTTTATTTTGCGTGGTGCACAACTTTGCATCCGCATCGATCCGCAGCAAGAACGTCTGGCCTTGAGGTCCAGAAGCTGGCGCAAGAAGAGGTGGCCCATGAAAATCCTCAAATCTCTGATCGAATTCATGTAGACTTTCACTATAGTCTTGAAACCGCCCCCAAGACCTAAGACCTGGATGGTGAAACCCTGTGATCTGAGTTGTCTCACTTCTTAGGGAGACCAGGAGCCTGCGGTGCAAGGTCCGGAGCTCGGACCCGGTGATGGCGCGATGCATGATGCGTCTGGTGGCCGCAGATCGGAGTCGACACCTGGGGTACCCCCAACTGGGATAGTCGACGACTAGAGGTCTTAGAACCTCTGTGGCCAAGTCGCATGTTGGCCTTCATCAGGCCCTTTTCGCGATTCAGCCTGAAAACAATGGTCAGCTTGTGCAACACGCACTTGGGCTGACGAAAAGGCAATTCGGCGTGCGCAAAAAGGCTTGGAGTGAGCCTTGAATTATCCTCACGGGCCAACTATCCTTATCTCCGCACTCTAACGAAGTAGTCACCAAAACAAACCATCGATGATTCCCGCTGCATGGCTATGTTTCTTGGCAAAATATGTCCAGGACTCCATGACCGTACACAAACTTGAAAGGGGTTTGTGAATTCGTGTCTGAGAAACCGCAATTCTTGGGCAAACCGCTCAGGAAAAGCAATGACTTTTTTCCATGGACTGCTTGGCCTTACCTGACCAAGACTGCCAAGCAACAAATACGTCTACCATGTCGATTTGGATACACTTTTCCATGGCCTTCTTTTGGGTGGTCCGTGCTTTGGAACATAGCCAATACTAAAAAAGGTCGAAATCCTGCCTGGTGCTTTAATTGGAGTGTGAGGTCAGAAGAGAAAGGACATGAGACTAGGGGAATAATTTACTACGTCTATGTAAATTATTCAGCCTGAATCAATTAAACCAATAAACGCAAGGTACAACATGCGGCTGCTGTCTTGCTCTGTGACACAGCCAGCTGGGGTGCGGTATTGAATCACGATGAGCTTCAGTAATCACCATGTTCAAACCAAAAAACAGTGGCACAGCCCCCTTCGCCATGAGATAGAAATCAACAGTCCCTCCATATCCCTTCCAACCCACGCTGTGAGAAATCAAGCTACCTTGGCTAAATGACATGAAATTGAGTTGAAACGAAAAAGGGGGTGATCTCACTTTGAGGCCCTTCCACTTCAGTCAATACCTCAATGAACTTGATGAACAAAAAACGTGTGTTAACATCGGTGGGCTGAACTTGCTGTTCCGGTGTCTTTGCATACCAAGAGGCTTCATCTGCAACTCCTCGGATGAAGCGTCGAAGCTTGTAGGCATGGCATCAAACTCTTCCATACCTGAGCTGCTTCTCTTGTTGTCAATTGCTCACAAGCTCCGGTTTGTTTCGAGCTTCTCAACGTATACCAGTGCTTCCGTGATGCACCTTCTCCGCAAATCCTCAGCCACCCAGCAGCCACCAGAACCATACAGGTCGCATCAGGTGAAACCCCTTGTAATGCCAAGTCGCGTCAGCCAAGGTCACGGGCTGCTCAAGCTCGGTGAACTCAGGGAACATTCCCTCAGCTGACTGGGATGGATGATAAATCCACAAGCAATGGAGGAGGCAACCAGAAATTGAGTGTGTATTAGTTAAATAGGGAGACCCCAACCAATAGGCAGACTGATCTATGTTCCTTCTTCCGTGAAAAACACACCCATTTTGGTGGAGAAACTGCCGTTCCCAATGGCCCCAATGCAGCTGAAGCAGCTTGGAGGGAGACGATCACGTCAAGATAGATCTTGCCTAAGAGCATCTCATTGCAAAGAACATCTCAGGGGAATTGTCTTGCAGTTGTAGGTGGACCAGGTACACACATCTATATACACTATCTCTTTGGAGCCACACCTCCATGATGGCTGATCGTCGGAACCACAAGGCCACACATATCAATATCAGATCCCCGTCTGTACGACAGGTCCAAGACCGGTCCAAGCAACAGTAGGAAGGTCCACGGAGAACCTAAGGCAAAAGAAGTGGGTCCAAGCACCCTCTGTCCTCTTGAATTTAATAGGACAACACTTCAATTCTCTTCAAGTTCGTTTTTAAACACAATTGAAACATGATGGCAGGCCTTTTGTAACCTTTTGTGGCTTTCAAGAAACACCAACAAACATTTTCTGAAGTGCCGCCCAGGGACAACTTCGAACATGGTGCTGGCGACTGCCTTGAGCTCCTCCACGGTGTCGGGCCTGTTGCTGGCCAAAGGCTCCACGAAATCCTCCAGCTCGCTGTCCAGCATGTGGCCGATCTTGCCCAAAAAGCTTCGAACCTCAAAACATCCAAGTCCTACGTCATCAACTAAGGACCTACAGTTACTATAGTAATTACTATGACCGCAGCCTGACTGCAGCATTAGGGACATTTGACTTAGGGGACAACACATGAAAAAACGTGCATCCTTAGGTCCTAGAGATTCTCCTGATACTGGCTTCCTCTGACTCAAAGACTCTCTCTCTCTTTCTCTCGCTTTCTGTCTCTGGTTCTCGTTCTCTCCGGAGAAGAGCCACACCAGGCCGGCCGGCGCTTTCAGTCACGACAGGCCGGGCCGCATTGCGTTGAAGCTCTTCCTTCCGATCCACCGGTGCCTGGCCGAACCGAAGCATTTCCCGAGAGGAAAACGTGTTGAGGCGAAAGGAACAGCTGGGGAAAGGAACAGTCCGATACTGCTCTATAGTCGCAACTGTGGGTCTTTTTTAGGTTGGCACCTCCTTCTTCCAAGCATTCTCCGATAGTGGAGGCAAGTGCAACTCCTCCTTTGGACCTCATGTCTGCCAAGGTCCATCCTATTCCCACCTCCACCTAACCCCTGAAGTCTCAGCTCCGGGCCACCCCTGGTCTTCTTGCGGGTGCCAAAGATCTCAAGACATCCGGGTGGTGCCAAAGATCTCTTGTGGGAGACTCATTCATGCATCAAACGGGTTGGAAACATGTGGGAGATCACAAACCTCCTTGGCACTAAGTTGCCAAGGCACTGCTCGATCACAAGCTTCCTTGGGAACCGTTGGATCCGTGCTCCTACAAACAAATCACCCAAGAACTAAGAACTAAGAACTCGTTGCTTATTACTCCCAGAAGCTAGACAATGCTAGAAACAACTGTCAATACATCTACCTGCCTACTATGTTTCCTATATTTTCCTATATACAATTATGTACAGAATCAAAAACAAATCGATTCGATCTATCTCTTTACCAAAGGTCACGCCTCCCCAGTGCTTCGCAGCGCTCTTCCCCCAGTCCTCGAAGCGTCCTCCGTGCGAAGCGTCCAGCGTGCTCCGGGCGGAGCAAAGCGCAGGGCCCGAGCGGAGTGCATCTGCCGATAGATTCGGAGCATGGCGTCTCTGCCTCGTTGTGGGTTGGAACGATTTCAATCGGTTCTTTTCATATCCCAGACGCTCCAAACAGCTCTTGGTCCCTCAAAACCCTTAGGGAACTTAGGAGGGTCCGGCCCCTACTTAGGAGGGTGCATGAGCGTCTGGGATGTTCATTTGAACCGGAATCGTTTTTGTTGTAGGGCCTATATGGGCCTATACTATTGAACATCTGGAGCATTCTGAAGGTTTTCCTTAAATTCGGAAGCTGTTCCTTTTGGAGAAGCTATGGTTACTATTCCAGGACAGCCAAGGTGCTGAAAACCACGTTGACATCCTGCAATGAGACATTTCAGGATGCGCTGCTGGCTGACAAGCTTTAGGCTTGACCAAAGATCTTCTGCAACAAACATCTGCAACACACCCGTGCCTGCTCGCACACAGCCGCCTCAATCACTGGCTCCTGGTAAAACAATGTTGGCATGACAAAGTTGAAATGCTGGGCACGCTTCTGTTGGAACACTTCAATACCCATATTGTATATATATATATATATGTTATACATGTTGGATATATAACTACACTATATTATTTTATACGACATATAATAGATCATATAGGGTCCATACTTTGCCACACATAGCAGGGCTGGCCTCCATCACGTCAGAGGCACCGCCGTCCTGAGAGGATCCCCCCCAAAAACGATCAATCGATTCTTGGATATATTGGACGGGTGGGCCTTCCGCAAGTTCTTTCAAATTCATCATGGGCTTAGGGCCAGATTTTGTTATATGTGGGCGCAATAGGAAGTAATACTGGATCCAGTAGTAACCATGATATCAACGTACTGGATCCACCTACCTTCTGAGAAGCTCTTTGGGGATGCGTGGGGGAAGGCAATTTCAACGTGTTAAGAGGACACCCCTCCAGCCATCTCAAGAAGTCAAAGCCGAAACTGGTTGAACTGAGGCAACAACCAGCTCAATGTTCAGCAACTTGGGCCTTGGATTTGGATGCGCAGCTTCACGGTCTTAGGTAGAACTGAAAGATCTGAAAGATATCTAAACATCTCACAACCCAGTGCTTAGTGAACGCCTCCAAGCATTCTAACCGATTGAACAGGGTTTACATGCCAAAAAGTACTGACAAAAATGTACTGATTCTTTCGTCTTGAGTTGAGGCACGAAGACGCCGCGGAATTCATCGACTGTGGAGAAACTGGCACGGGCGAAGGTCCAAGCACCTTTGACACAGGCTTCTGATTCACCTCACCCCGCAAGGGTGCCAATTGGAGCCGCTTTGGTGCTTTGGCAGCTGTGGCCTCTTTGGCTGTGGGTGACAAATTCAAGGCCTTGATGGTGGAACTGTAAACCTGCCCAGGAAGGGTCAAAGGATGGCAAACGTCTCGACCTCCCATCCGACCCCTTAAGCGACTCTCAGCCAAAGTTGGGAATTCCTCCAGACCGTCCGGCGGAATAGGTGGCCGGCTGGAGGCACTGGGCACGCTGTCCGAATCCGACTTCTGCACTGCAGGCGTCGGTTTCTTTTGGTTGATCAAGCGCTTTCTGGCCTTGACTGTCTTGACTTCTTGAGGCTGGGCAGGTGCCGGCTCGATCGCTGCTTCCATGGCAGGCTGCGACACGATTGGCCAGGCTTTCTTTTGGTTGATCAAACGCTTTCTGGCATTGGCTCTCTCAACCTCTGCGGCTGGGGCTGCTGGCGCTGCTTCCAACGCATCGGCTTCTGGGTTGCTTGGTCCCATCATCGACTGCATTTGTCCCATCGGGGTCACGATGCCCATCTGAGACGCACTTGGGTTCATCACCGGGTAACAGCCGTGGCCCATCTGGAAGCCTTCCATCTGCTGCGGGTGATGCCCTCCCATGTGGCCTTGATTGACCACCATACTCACCATACTACCATCCGTGCCCGGAAAGCCCTGCGGCAGCATGGCTACAGGCACTGCGACGCAGCAGTACCTTAGCGGCTCTACAGTGGTCCCCAAATAGATACAAACGGATTCCAATACTTTCTGAAAGGGATTTCAATGTTCTATTTATATATTTGGGGCCCCATATAGAATTTGAATGAATTTGGCTTGGCCATCGGAAGTCGAGCTATAGCACGCGCCCACGTGCACTGAGTGCTCGACGCTACCTGCTGGCACTGCGCTGGAGCGGTCATGGCTCCAACGAAGTGCCTTCTATCCTAATCCTACTCACCAAACACTTGCAATATGGCTCACTGGAGCCCAATGCCATCGGAAACATGGCAGCACACTGGCATGCACCCTGCACATCCCTGCACCACATGTAGCGTAGCTACCAGCTATTGCACATCCTGGCTGTTCGCACACTTTTGTCTGGCCTCGGTTCGGTCCAAAGTGAGACACGAGAAGTCTTGCGGATCATTCAGCCCCTTGATCTGCTCAAGACTCTTAGCAGGGTTGGCAACATGATGCACTTTGTCACAGTGGCCAAGTTGCATCAATACTCTTTGTCCCTTGAAGTTCATCCTCCAAAACCTTCAGAGGCGCCGTTCCAAATGCAGGTGTAGTTATCACTTCATTTATATAAAAAATCGGAAGCCCAATGATCCCAATGTGCCAACTTCATCCCACATGTCCCACTTGGCCTTTCATAAGCCAAGACAAACAATTCAGAGACTTTCAGGGCCTACCGTCCCAACTGAGGAAAGACTTCCTCGGCTTCGGCCGCTTTCAGGCTCTCTATCATCCACGACCGTGCAGGTCGGCTGCACCGGCCTCAAGTGCCGGGCGCGGCGGGGGGAGCTGGAGGCTCTTTCGAGGACTCTGAGGCCGGCAGCTGCGAAAGAGAGATAGGGAATATGGATCCCTAGTAATAGCCTAGGGATCCAGTCGTACCTTCTCAGAAGGTGATTGGAGACACTCTTATGTAGGTTTGGAGGGTCCAAGTAGCTTCTGAGAAAGTACTTGGATTCCTGGGGGATAGAATATACGGATATCCCAACAAGTGCTGGTCTATCCGAATGGGCCGTATGGGTACTTGTTTTTGTATCCAGCCTTCTGTACAAGCCTCAAGTGTACTGTGTTCCGTCTGATCCCCTCATTGGCCCAAATAAGTATTTAGGCGTAAAAACTAGTCATCTTACCTGCAGGGTTGTTGATGGTGACCATCCAGTGAGCGAAGGTAGACAATGGATATCCTGCTGGAATATATTCTGTCCATTCACCATCGACGGGTGCCCCGAGCCCATCTCCACCAAACAGGGAGCTCGCTGTTTCTTACATGATGCAGCCCATGGTGGAACGAGAAGCTCAATTCCCTCAACTGTAGCTTGACCAGAATTGGTCAAACATTGAATTGAATGTGATACTGAATGATACGAATTGCACATAACTGCACCGCTCTCGCAAATTGTATCACCCTCTCCTGACTCCAAGAAAACACATGAAAACACAACATACGACCGGGCCCTTGGACCGCCCCCAAAACTGAAGCCGAGCGACGCAAGCGGCGCGCGCAAGCGCAAGACCTTGACTGATGCACAGGTGACGGTGATGAGACTTGATGACACATATCATTTTGGCTTCTTCACAGTCATTTTGTTGGAGACCCACAAGTGATCACTTCCCAAAACCTCCACCGGTTAACAAAACACTTGCGAGAACTGATGCTGGGCATAGGCATGCTTGACAAGTGAATGCGAAGGAACTTGCACAAGGCCTTGCACAATCTACAATGTACGATCTACAATGTACAACGATCTTGGGCATTTCATTTGTTTGCTAAAACAATTTGCCATTCTCCGGAGGAACTTGGTGTAAACCGGATGGAACAAGCCATCGCTTCAACCCAAAGAAAGCCGCCCAGTGAAAAAGAAGCAGCTCAGCGATACAAATTGTTCTCGATTGGCCCTCCGCAAGCCGTCTCACAGCCTGCCGCAAGCGAGAAGCTTCTGCTGCTCCTCGTGGCGGAAGACCTGGCAGCTGGCAAAATCAGTTGGCACCTAGGGGTGTGTGAAGATATACATATCAGCTGAGCATGCCTCGCTTTCCTGGAGGTTGTGTGTCAACTCATAAAATTGTCTTGCTTCTTAAAGTCAAGAGGCTACAATAAACCCTGTTCTTCCTTGTCTTATTCAAGCAAGAAAACCCAAGACCCTTTTAGTACTACAGTTTGCATGGTAAGAAGTTCGCCATGTGTTGCCATATAGAACATTATAGAACGTGACAGTTGGGAAGAGGAAGCAAAAAAGGGGAAACTTAAAAGGTGACCCACCTATGTAGAACGATATATTTATATCATATAGCCTTTTTTACTATTTGCTGGTGCTACATGACATGTATTGGAAACATGTAGGGAGATTCTTCTGAGTATGCTCAACCAGTGAACATACAAAGGAGCTCCCACACAATGGCCTTGCAATTGCAGCATCTCCTTGAGCATCGATCTGCCCAAGCGCCAAAGTAGTTTTGCTCCTGCAAGCTTGCAGCCTACAAAATGCTTTCTGGATAAGTGGCACCAATGAACCGTTTCTCTTCGTGACGTGCTTCTGCATCAAAAAGGAAAGGAAAACAAACCGACCACACCACTTTGACCGTCATGCTTTTTTGTTCTCTTCATCACTTATCATTGCGTGTCCCAAGATTGAAGCATTTAAATAACCCAACACTGGGCGTGCTTATCACAACCCAAGTAAGTCAGCTCTTAGAATAAAATAGAAAGGCCGGTACGACCTGGGGTATCCTGGCACGCCTGGAGCTGAAACCTTCAACAAAAATAAAGCCGCCAGGTGCAAACAAGCAGCCATTCCAACGCTGAACATCTGACCTCAGCTGGTGCCTACTGGGCTTAAGAAACATGTGATCCAATCTCTCAAGCAGTCATCGCAATGCAAGCCGCCAAGTCTTAAGTGAACAAAGTTTTCTTGGTTTTGAAGTCAAGCCGCTAGCAGCTCTCTCGTTTCTATAGAAACAGCCGTTAAGCTGCAACTCCTGTTTTGGGCCGCGAGCTGCAAAGTCAAGGTGACATGACATCCTACTATGTGCAAGGTACAAAGTGTACATATTACATGGAGTGAAAATACACCCCCCTCAGCTAAGGTAGCTTTGCTCCCGAAGCTGGACGCGGAAAGTGCACGAGGGCTTGTGCAGGGCACGACAGTGATGTCGGCTCAAAGCTGCATGGCAGTTGTGGATGCTAGCAATCCACTGCCTTCGTGGCCCTGTACGTGCATTTTAATTATTCACTCCCCGCCGCCAAAAGAAATTGAAAGTTTGGACTTGGGAGGAAAACCGCATACATATTGACAATGGATGTCATGCAATGAATTATGCTCGCTCAGGCAAAAAGGTTGAGACTTGGCTCAACTAACGCCAATGCCACTGGCTCCGACTCGAGCTCCAGTCCCACGAGCGGCGGTCCCACTGCCGCTGCTCGCCCCACTCGCTCCAGTTCCATGAGCTCCATCCCCACGAGGACGATGCTGATCCGGATGCACGTGGGCTCACCGGTGAAGGTGGCGGACCTCCCTTTGCCTTTGAAGCTGGAGTTCCATCACCTCCGGTAGAGGACTTGCGCTTGCCCTTGCTCTGCTGCTGGCGCTGCTCTTGAGTCTGCTTGTTGACCACGTCACGCCTGGCAGCGGAGAGGTTGTCGTGGCATAGCTGGCGAAGCTCCTCAATTGCGCAGTATTGGCTCATCTGATGCACGCCGTCCCAAGCCAAAAGGCCGCGATGGGAGTCGGGTGAGTTGAGGTACTCGATGTACTCGCGCAAGGAGAGGATGTTTGTGCGATAGATCACATACCATTGCTCAGGAGTGTAATCCATGGCTTGTGAATAGCGATCGGGCGCTACGTCGATGTAGACCAGCCGTGCCAGAGAATGATCTTCGTCATATCCAAGGCCCAGGCTGACTTGCGCTTTGTTGCGCGGCGGGTTCGCCAAGTGAGCATGGCAAAGCCAATCCTGCCGCTGCGCTGCCCGATGATCATAGCCCATTTGTAGCATTCGTTCCATGAACTGGACGTCATGCTCGAAGCGATCCTCGATGCTCTGGAAGCCGCACTTGTCTGCACGCTTCATCCGGCTGCGAGCGTCTTGGATCATGATTGCTTCTGGGCTCATGTTTCCACGGCCGCTTGCAGACACCACACGCAGGTTGAGGCCAGCCTTGATGTAGTCACTGACTGGGCACTCGGTGCGAGCGAGGCCGGCCCTCGCAAGCTGCTGCTTTCGGAGAACTGAGAGTCTGGTGACCGCTTCCTCCGGCAGCTCGGTGTTGGTGGCAAGTTCGGCTGGCAAATGTCGCAGTGGGTCATGCCCCTGAGCATGGAAAGCCGGGTCTACCGTTGACCCCGGCCCGGCCCGAGGCCCGGCCCGGCCCGGCCCGGGTGAACCCCCTTTCCCGGCGCAGCCGCGAGGAGGCCACCTGACACAATGTGCAAAGCAAGAACCCACGTATGCAGAAAGATGTGGGCGCGTGGATCGGCAAGTGAATTTAAATGTATACTGTATGTGGGGTTAGTTTAGGTTGAGTCATGCGTGAATCACACCCTAAATGTGAGAGTTTGTGCTTTGGTCGAACAAAAAGGGTTTACATGTTGACCCATCCTGGTTCACACCCTAAATCTCAGAGTACGACCATCATTCGACTAAAAAGGGTTTACATGTTGATCCATCCTGATTCACACCCTCAATCCTAGAGTATGACCGTCAATCGACCAAAAAGGGTTTACATGCTGCTCCATCCTGATTCACACCCTAAATCTCAGAGTACGACCATCACTCGACCAAAAAGGGTTTACATGTTGATCCATCCTGATTCACACCCTCAATCGTAGAGTGTCGACCAAAAAGGTAAATATTTTTCGATCCACCCTGATTCACACCCCAAACACAAGAGTATGGCCGTCTCTTGGCCAAATAGGGTTTACATTCTGACCCATTGTGACCCACATGGGTATGCAACTCCAAGGGGTCTCCCCCGGTCGACTGACACACCTCCACGCTGTAGAGGGACATGAGCCCTCCCAGTGGGTCCTGGACAGGAGCAGTCGAAGAGAAGTCGGGACACCCGAGGAGGAGAAGTGGAAGTAGAGGTCGTGGTCTTGTGCGCATGCGTGCATTAGGTTAGCAAGAACCTATTTCAGGAGCGGATCACCCGAAAAAGATGTGGAAGCAAAACACATGGGTGGTT